GGGATCGCATGAATCGGTGGTACTGTGGGATTTTCCTGATGTCGGGCTGGAGCCTGTTCCACAGTGATACACATTGGAATGAGGCAGAATGTGTGCCAGCGGATGTCTTAGTGACTGGAAATTTAAGTGCTCGATTTCCCTGACTACGTGTAGCACGGCCGGCATTAAGAGGACTGAACATATCGGTAAGCAATGTGCTGCATTTACCCTGAAGGCAGCGCCAAGTGTAGCCAAGAAGCTTGTGGCAGTACATAACTTCTAGCGAGTGCAATCGCAATTGGCAATACAGCGGCGCAGATGGAGATGCAAATGGAGCGTTGTAAACACAGCGGACTGCGCGCTTGAGTAGACGTTCTAGGCGCTCGAGCTGATGTGAGGTGAGGCCAGCAGAGAAACAGTTGCTAGCATACAGGAAGTCGGGAAGGATCAGGGACTTCAGGTACGTGATGCGGCACGGGAGGGACATGCAGCGCCTGTTTCTAAACAGGACAGCTATTTTACAGGCAGCTCGCTTGGCGATCTGGTTGACCATTGTGGTCCACTTGAGATCTTGGTCCATGTGGACACCAAGATACTTTGCGGATTCTACTTGTGCCAGTTGAACTCCAGAGCACATAACGCTGACACGAGGATTCACAGAACGATGGGCAGGAATGAACAAAATCTGGGTTTTACTCTCGTTTAGTACCAGGTTCCTGCTGGCAAGCCATCTGGCCAGGTGTGTAACTGCAGAAGACATACTGCGTTCCAGCTGATGTTTGTCCCTGCTACTAATATAGAGCATGATGTCATCTGCGAACTGAACTGTCCACACACCATACGGTTGCAATTCAGCTGCCACACCACGTACATAGAGGACAAACAGCAGAGGACCAAGTAAGGAACCCTGGGGCACACCACTGCTGGGCTGGAATACCTTGCTGTCCTGGTTCCCAATGACAACTCTTTGCTGCCGGTCACTTAAGTAGTCTGCCAACCAATTCAGCGCACTTCCACCAACACCAATACTGAAGAAGTCGCGGATGAGGGTGCCATGTTGAACCTTGTCGAATGCCTTCGACATGTCAACAAAGGCGGCGCAAGTTGAGAGTCCGGAGTCTTTGGCATTGGCAAAGGCCTCCGATGCCATCACAACAGTATCCTCAGTTGAGTGCTGTTTCCGGAATCCGAACTGGCAATCTGGGTAGAGGCTGTGGGTGGTCAAGAATTCAGTGAGTTGCGAATGTACGATGCGCTCAAGGATCTTTGAGATAATAGGCAACAGAGAAACAGGCCTGAAATTGGTGGCCTTAGTAGGGTCGCCGCTCTCGTACACAGGGGTGATATTTGCAAGTTTCATGGATAGTGGAAATCTCCCTTTGGAAAGTGACTTATTGAAGATGAGAGTTACTGATGGAGCTAAGAGGGCAGAGCATGCTGCTAGTACAAGAGCAGGTACGCCATCACTGCCCGTTGACTTTGTCGTATCTACACTGCTGAGCAACTTGCGTACACATGCGATGGATACTGGCTTGAAACAGCAGAGATCAGTACTTGCATGCGGACCAGAGGGGATGGATAGCACCTTTGGGCGAGTCGCATCGGTGACGATGTCCGCAAACACTTGTCCGATTTCATCCGGGGGGCATTGAGGAGCAGTGTGGGTCCGTGTTCTGCCTGATACCTGGTTAATCACTCTCCATGTTTGTCTTCGCTGGCCTTCCGCATTGGCAAACTGATCCTGATAGTAGCAGGCCTTGAGTCGTCGGTTAAGCTGGTTCACATCACGTCTGGTCTGGCGGAAAGCTTCATGGTCCACAGGGTTGCAGGTGCGTAGCCATTTGCGGTGGGCCCGGTTTCGACTAGATATTGTGGCCAGCAGGTTTGCATCCATCCAAGGAACATGTTTGCGTGTTTTGGTGTGGCGGGTCCTCAAAGGAGCATGTTTGTCTAGGATATCCAGGAACTTCTGCAGCCATCGAGTCCACGTCTCATCACACGACCCATCCAAGGAGCACAAGTTTGCAGCCACGAAGTCATTGCGAAACATTTCCATGTTGATGCCTCGGAGGTGTCGAGTCTGCGGTTGAGCACTCTGGGGTGCACAGTCGGCAGTGATTGCCAGGGTAGAGATGACAGCCGAATGGTCACTAAATGATACTGGGGAGACAATGGTTGGGGCTCTGCACAGCAACGTACTAAATACTAAGTCCAGGGTGGTTTGTGGTCCCGTAATTCCGATTCTTGTGGCCAGACTCACACTTTGTGACAATCCGAGGGTATTCGCGATGTCAGATAGATATGAGAGTTGACCACTCTGGCAGCTATAGTCAACATTGAAGTCACCACAGATTATCACATCCTTTGGCTCCCTCATCGCACGAGTGAACGTCGCTTCCAGGGCCTGCCAGTAAGACACTCGCATATGAGGTGGCCGATACAGACAGGCAATGAGACAAGGCTTCGGCTGGGCCTTCACCTCTACCCAGCAGCACTCAATACCCTGTGTGGCAAGATCTGGCCGGGGGTGGCATTTCAGTCCGACATTAGTGTATATACACACCACCACCACCCAAGTTCCCGCAACGGTCTAGGCGATGTAGGGTGTAACCTGGTATGGACATTTCTGCTATTGTAATGGTACAATCGAGCCAAGTTTCTGAGACAGCTATTACATTGGGCACACAAGTAGAGGCCAGTTGCATTAGATCCTGCAGCTTCTGGCGGAGGCTGCAGATGTTCAGGGACAGTACTTTCAACGTGGAATGTGAACTAGTCATGATCTAATAGATTGGTGGTGGTGGTCTTTTCGCATCTCCAGCGTCAGGAGGGGAGAGGTGCGAGCTATTCCTCTTCTGGCTGTTGTGCACCTTCTGTCGCTGGTGGTGCGGCAGACAAGTTGGCTGTCTCCATCCGCGTCTCCTGAAGGAGCTTGTCCACGATGGCCTCAGTCTCCTGAAGGAGTTGGTCGCCCGTGGTCTCCTCAAAGAGTTGGTCGCCGGTGCTGCTGCCATTTTCAGAGGCCTAAGAAACAGTACCGGTACTTGGGGTGGATGTGCTATGGTCAATGCTGTCTCCAATATCTTCGCCAGATGTGGCTCGCCCATTGCTGTTTCTGTCAGCATCAAACTTCCACAGCCTGGAGTACACGCGGCCCGGCCAAAGGTTCTTGGCAAGCAAATATCCAGCATCTTGTGCATTGATCATGACCCGCCCTGACACCGTGAGGCGAGAATTGTTGAGTGGCCGTTTCTCCAGTATTGTCACGCTGTGTAGCGGGAAGTTAGGGAGTGCAGCAGCAGCAATTCTCCTGTGCAAGTATGTTGCTAGTTGCTCCTCAGTTGTGCCTGCCTTGAGGTTGCCAACAAAGATGACTTTCTTTTTTGGTTTTCGGGGCTTGTCATGCGATACCAGAGTCCAGGCGTCATCTTCGTCATCCATGGGTGGGACAACGTGGGACTGTCCTTTGCTTTGGACACCCTTTGCATCCTGACCACTGTTGCCGGTATTGTGCTTTTCGTCTGCTGTTGCTGCTGCAGTATGAACTTCCGTGTAGTTTGCTGTAGCTGCAGCGTGGGCCTCAGAGCTACCAGTATTCGTACAGGGCGCGTCCCCAGCGCTGTCCGTTGCTACAGGCGTTGTCAACGGAGTTTCTGCAGAGTGTCCTGTGCATGTGCTACGGTGCGCTGGGTCTGTACTACGATGCTGCACTTTGCCCCCAGTGACAGCCGTTGACGAGTTGCCGCTCGTTGTTGTGCGTCCAGCTCCAACTGCCTTTGGCCTGCTGCTCATCGGTTTCGCAATGGCGGATGCCTTGAGGGTGACCAGTTCCTCTTTTAGTCCTTTGACCTCAGAAGATAGCTCTGAAATTCTTCGGCTCATCCTCGCCGCACGGTTTGCGGATTCTGTGGCCAGGGTAGACAGCGTCTGCACCACTCCTACCAGCGAGTGCTCGATCCCCGGGAGGGAACAAAGCAGTTTCATCTGGGCTTCGCTTGAAGACTCGCCCATGACGACGGCCTGCCACCGGTGTCCTACCTAGACTACAACTACACTATACTACTACTGCTATCTACCTGAAAATACTCTACCTTTCTCCAGTCCGGCCTGATGCCGTCTGGGCTGAAAAGAAGCAAAAATCTACAAGCTCGAAAACGCGTGCATGCGGCTTCACGTTATTTGCTTGATTTCCTTGGCAGTTTCCTGACGAGTCGTCCTCTCAGTCCTTCGGTGCATTATTCTTATTCAATATAACTAATCATCACATAGACTTGATGATGCCACAGAAAGCACAGGCTGCGGTGGCTTGGTCATGTTGCATGGATGAAGGAAGCCCGGCTGACAATGCAGATTCTGTTTGGTGAGCTGCCTTGCAAACGCACGCAGCACGGTCCCAAGAAACGCTAGCAGGACGTTGTGTCCTCGGACCTTGCATCCATTGGCCTACCTGAAGGTTTCTAGTACACTACAGCACAGGAGAGACCAACTTGGTTCCAGTGCTGGCGGCTCAGGGTTGATAAGCAAGCCCCAGACATCCTGTGCTCCAACTACCACTGCAATTGAGCGTTCTGTCGTCCTGGCGATCATGCAGCATGCACCAAATGGAGAGTTAGGAGCCCCGGTGCGATGAAGTCATTGCTTCCATTCCTACGGCGACAGGTATTCCAGGTTCCAGGTTTGCGTGTGTGTGTGTGTGTGTGTGTGTGTGTGTGTGTGTGTGTGTGTGTGTGTGTGTGTGTGTGTGTGTGTGTGTGTGTGTGTGTGTGTATTCAAGACTTGAATCTGATGAGAGAAGAATCGATGTTGTCGTTTTGGAGCTGGATCGTCTAGGCTCGGAGTACAGTGGTGGCAGAGACATGAGCTGTGAGTGGAGACGGTTGCTGGAGATGGATGGTGATGCAGGTGCTCAGTCGGTAGAGCATGAGACTCTTAACCCTTTGCCGGTCTAACTCAATGTATGTGAGGGGTGGTCACGCAAATACATGTACACACAACCAGCAATAACTCAAGAACCATGTGATGTAGGTATGGGTAAACCATATATTTTCAAAATCTGTATGCCTGAACGCGTCCAGAAAATTCAAATATGACTAGGTCCAGGCAAGGATAGGGCCCATGGTAGCCCTTCAAGTTGAGAGAAAATACAATTGCGAATGAAATACACGAATATCACAGCACGGAGGGCATACCAAGTTCGTGATGGAGCTGAAGTCGTACGATAAACAATCAGGTAAGGGCTATGTCTTTACAAGAAATGTCGGCTCTCTACAATACCGCCATTGAACACCAACACCTCGCCATCGGCGATACGCCAGCAGCAGCAATTCCCATTCCACGATATCGCAGTTTCGGTTTGTTCATCTCAGCGCTGCTCGCGTCAGATTCACTCTCGCTCAGATGAGTACTCAGGCGCGAGCTTACGCATGCCGTGATTCTCACGGCCAGGCGAATCAGCTGATCGCACCTGATGAGTCCTTGTGACAGTCGCTGTCGCCGTGTTGGCAGCAAGAAGGCTTCCTCTCTGTTTGGAGAATTTTGTTTCTTCATTCGTGGACGATATATTTTTGAACTAGCAGGACTCAACGGAGCTCTTTTTCTCAACACACTACCCTGCAAAACCTCCCGGGAGATCAAGCCTGGACTAGTGATGTTACTGCTCTCAGAACGCTTGTCAAACACGGCCCCAAGAGATGCACCCGCATTCTCGAAATGCGCGCATGGCGGATGGTCGTCTTTTCCAATTTCAACAAACTTCAGTCGATCGATACGGCAAAAATTTGTATGGTAAGCATGATTGTTTTGCACATCGTCAGAAAGCCTTGGACCTCAGCTACGCGTAGAGCGCCATTTTAGCTGTCTCCTAGCAACAAGACCCCAAAAAAATGAGGGCCAAACGTACCGATACTATAGTATCGGTACGCTTATGGTAGACCGGTAAAGGGTTAATCTCAGGGTCGTGGGTTTGAGCCCCACGTTGGGCGCCAAATGTCGTCTTGCCCAAAGGACGAACTATTACTATTTCTCTACGCTCCTCGCCACGCCACACAACAAAGGACTAGTACAAATTGAGAGAGAGCTTTTTCTTAGGCTTACTTCAAGCGGCGACTGGAGAACTGAGCTCCCACAAAACAGGACAAGAGAATATATTGTGGGACGTGGAAAAGTGGGGAAAAAGTGGGGTGAGGGAGACGAAAGAGGTGCATGTGTATAGTACAACAAGGCCCGAACGGGACGGGAGACAAAGACGGCAGACGAGGAAGTACGACGGACACAAGATGGCAACCAGACAAATACAACGGAGACAAGACGAGAAAATGCGTATACAACGGGGACGAGGTGAGAAATAATGCATACGGAGGGGACAGAAGACGGTGCAGCGGCATGTACAAAGCGTTCCAAGACAGCGCAGCAGCGTGTACCACGGGTCAGCAGCATGTACGACACAGAGACACAAACGCAGCCACATGTACTACAAGGAGACACCAGCGCAGCCACATGTACGACAAAGAGCACCACGTGCAACCGCATGTACAACACAGGGAGAAGGGTTACGCTGCCTGACGACGCATGGGAAATTGTTTGATCCTGCAATTTCAGTTCGAGCGCGGTGGACTTCTAGACGATGTGTCCTCATGGCTGTTTTTCAATGCTTAGCCTATCGCTGATATCCCTGCGTGGGATGTTCTTCCAGTGGAGTCCGGGTGGGACTTTGGGTGCCCACACTCCATCAACTGGTTGATTGTTTCGGAACTGCAATAATGCAGGTTCAAATAATTATTGTTTCCTTTTTGTGCGTATCTCTTGTCATCTCTCTTTTCTATGCGTCGCACACCAGATGTACTACTTTCGCTGTCTTTCTCATGCTATCTCTCTCTGCTTGCTGCTTTTGTTTTGTTGCCATTGTCCCTCATCATACCCATGCTTGGGTGGAGGGCGGCGTGACCCGTTAGGGTAGCTATCAATACAGTACGCAATCGTGGACGACGTCGTGGCGGAGCGGCTTCCTGGTGGCAGTGCTGGCTTTCTTTCGAGCTCTCTCTTCTACTCTCCCCTGTCTCAGGGGCAGCGTGGCCAAGCATTTGGCAGCTGTATACCAGGCCAGGTGTGTATGTGTGTGTGTGTGTGTGTGTGTGTGTGTGTGTGTGTGTGTGTGTGTGTGTGTGAGCGTGTGCGTGCGTGCGTGTGTGTGTGTGTGTGTGTGCTCACATGTGTGCACATACGTGTTGGCATGTTATATGTGTGGGTCTAATTGCTAGTGTGTCATTGACAGCAAGACAATCAGCACTCACCAGTTAGTTGTTGTTGACTGGAAGCTGGAGCAGAATTGTCTCAGGAATGATTGACGTCAGAGAGATTGGGTAATTGTCACTGAAATGAGTTGACAGAGAATCTTAGTTTAGACCAACATTTCATTTCCATCAATTTGTTACTAATTAGGATTATATCAGCCCTGACCAATACCAATTTACCTTTAAAGGTAAATTGGTATTGCTCAGGGCAAGTAGGGTCCAGAAGAAAGACAATTTGATATCGGTTCGAATGGCATATCTCTCGCTTGTATACGATAAGCCAAACTTGCCAATTGTATGATCATGTTGCCATAGCGACGAGCACAGTGATGACGCACGTTCTGCTTAGCTCCGTGAGAGAGAAAGTTGATCACCGCAGAATTTGGTCCTTTTCAATTGTCTTATTGTATTCACGATGCCAAAGAAGTGCTGTGTTCAATGCTGTTAGTGCCGTGAACTGTTTATTGGCCTTCTCCAATGACTGTAGCCTAGGAAATGGTTTCTCTTGATATTCGCCATCTCTCCTGAGAAATCTTCAGCAAACTTTCAAAAATGTACGACATCATTTCGTTCCACCACCCGTCATCTCACCTGGCTCCAGAAGATGTTACGGGAGATAGGGGAGTCGCCAGCAAGCATCACATCCATCTTCAGGAAGTGGAAAGAGCAAACGGCATGGTCCTTGGTTGAGGTAAATGCTGAACGTCTGATTCGTCCCAACCAAAATATTTCAGCACTTTGCATACTTGCCAACCCCTGCCAAACAGTTTCCTTGACACTGATGACGCTTTTCCTTGATTTTGCCCATTTTTCCTTGATTTGCAATTTTTACATCATAATTGTGCAAAATGTTGTATATGACATCATAGTGACGTCACCATGACCACAAAACATTCGCAAAATAGTACAGCATGTACGACAAAAAGTACTTTTTCATGCGCTAACTCAAAAGTTCTCGCTCGCTAGACCTTCATTTTAACCCAGCACTGCGCGAGCGAGCGTCCAAAACACTGAAAATCATCGAAAAAGGTGTTGACGGACATTTTCGAAAATCCGGTAGATGTTATTACTTTTCCGGTATACCGGGAGGAAAACGAGTTTTCCTTGATTTTCCCGGAAATTCCGGTAGGGTTGGCAAGTATGAATTTGTTCATCACTATTTTTGCTTCTCTGCTGATGTCTCCGCACTCCAGCTTTCTCCTATCGGTGTCACATTCCAGTACACAACCGAGAGGACTACTAAGGCAAGACCAAAAAAATAGAGATTCCCGGGCCCTCCCGCACCAAAGTCGAGCTGAAGTCAATTTGGTTGAACAGTTCATGTACAGTACTGGTCATGTCAGTAGATCTGTGACAGGGAGTGACACAAACCCGGGCTTGTACAACTCCATGATGTGCATCCCAGGGTCGGTGTTGGCCGAAATACAAAAATTGTACTGGTAAACCGGATACATGTTGTCTGTAAAAAATTCAATACAAATTATCGGAAACACTGTAAAAAAAGGGTTCAGCATGCAATGCATACATACACAGTAAAAAGCAGTTTATGGCACCAACAGCATTGAACACAGCCCTTCTTTCACTTCGTGAATACAATAAACCAATTGAAACGACCAAATTCTGCAGTGATTGACTTTCTCTCTCACGGAGCTAAGCAGAGCGTGTGTCATAACTGCGCTGGTCTCTATGGCAACGTCAGCATACAATAGGTCGTCGACGTCTGACGTCACTGCTTCTTGACAACGCGTAGGTACTTGGCCAAGTGGTGACAAACAAAAGTCGCGTCACCTGCACTTGTCGTGTTTCCAGTGGCAGCAGCATACAGTGAGGAGCGCGCGAACAAGAGTAATTATTTCAAATAAACTGCTACTTGTCGCAAAGTTTATAGTTTCGCTTTGTAGAAAAGGAGAAACCGCAGCTGATTTTTTGCTTAGCCACTGATGTGCCTGTACTGTCGTTTGGCTTTGCATGTAGTCGCTGGCCAAGAAGAAATTGTTGCGAAATTCGGTTCGAGTATGATTTACGCGTGTTGCATTTGGTTCTTTTCTCGCAGAGTCCAGTGTCTGATGTCATATGGCCCAGTATCAGCGAGAATCTTTTTTTGCAGAAAGTCATTTTCTACAACGGCAAAAAACTCTTGCTTCGCTGTGCACATCCAAACAAAAATTAGTTCATTGTGACAATTTGATCATCCTAGTAGGAGCGTTCGCTCACGATAGCCAACTGCCGTCCAGCTCTGCCAGATGTGATTGGACTTCCAAGGCAGGAATCGTCGCGTCTGGTGGAGAACGACAACAGTTTTCATAAGATGTTTTTGTCGACACCCAATTCCTTTTAGCAACGAGAATTTCAACTTGATTTAGGCGCTCCGCAAAAGGAGCTCTCTGCTGGTAAAGTACTTTCTGGCATCTGGAAATCCTTGTAGGGCCCTTCTGATTTTAGTACAGCTCCGCTCAGGGGAAATACTCAACGAGGAGAAACGAGTGAGGCGACGGCAACAGAGGTACACGAACTGAAATGCCCTGGATCAACTCGAGTCATGACGAAAGGGCGCTGCCGATAGTGACTTGATCTGAATTTATCCAGACTCCCACCCTGGTCTAAGGCTGCGTTTACACGACAACGCTGGGGTTGAAAACGCAACGAAATCCTTTCGGATCCAATGTTCATTTACACGGTACGCGGAGCAAAACGAAAAAGTTGTACACCAAAACGGAAGAAAACCAAAACGCTAGCCAAGGTGGAAGAATTTGAAAACGGAAATGTTCTGCCGGATAAATTTGGATGTGTAAACAGTTGAAACGGTGTGCTGGCCTCGTTTTCCGTCACGTTTGTTTCGTTTTCGGCCGTTTACACAGATCCAACAATCCAACAAATTGTTTTTACAATTTTCGTCATGTGACGTGTGTTGTCGTGTGCCTGTTTTCAACCATTATTTGAGTGTGATTGGTGCTTCCACGGCAACACTTGGCACATGACGAACTTTGGCGGATCCTTTGCTCTCGTGTAGACGCTTGAAAACGACACAAACGGAGACCACCCCGGATCGGCTTTGATCGTGTAAACGTACGAAAACGAAAAAAGAAATGCGGGACTGAAAACGGAAAACTGGCCCTGCGTTGTCGTGTAAACGCAGCCTAAGTGGACGTGCGAGTATGGTGTGATGTGTGACGTTTATGGTATGTGGTGCATGCAAGAGTACGCGTTGTCAGAGTGTGAGAATCTGCTTCCGTCTGTGTGAGAGTGACTGTCAAGTGAATGCTCTACACGCGCAGTGCTAATTTGGTCTGGAAAAGAGAGTCATGTGTGATTCGTCTGTGGTCTGGTTATCTTGGTCATGTGTTCTGTATGTATTGGGCCCTGATTGGTTGTCACGATTTGTCGTCGCTTTGTCACTGCTTGTTCTTTGTTTTTTTTTCTTGACGTCTTTTTCCATCGCCATTTGTTTAGTCTTGCATTTCCTTTCTCCTCCTGCGCCCTCGTCATTTGGTGATTATAAGAAGTCAGAAAGAGTATCTTTTTTCCTTTTGGAAACCTGGCACAATTTTGCAGTACATTTGCTGTCGACTCCTGATATAACGCACATCACTGTGCAGGAGAATTAGTTCTATAGTCAAAGTTCTTTATAACCGAAATGCTCTCACACCATACAAGCAACACGTCATGACTGGCATATGGCCCATGACAGTATGGTCACACTTAGTTTAAATGCGGCCCTGCACGATATGGTTCGTTATACGCGAAAACAGTTCGCTATAAAGGACCAATGTTGTGTGGATTCAAACAGGGACATGGATATAGTACAGTCAACTTGGCTAATAACGACTGCGGATATGACCAGCGCTCTGCGAAAACCGACCTTAGGTGCTATTTTGGCGAAATTGAGTTTGTGCTGGATTGTTGACCCATGACCCTTTCTTCAACTTCTGGTGAAGTTTGAGGTGGATTGCATACATATTCAGTTAGATACAATGACAATTTCTTTGCACTTTTCGTACAATATTTTGAGGAAAAGTAGCAAAAATCCTGGATTTTATGCTACATTTTGGAGCCAATGCTGTGAGAATTCAAGCAGCATGATTGCAGCCAAACTTTGCAGAATATATCTGTATGTCATAATCTTCAAAAGGAAAGGTTTATGATGGCATTGGATCTTCCTGTTGTGGAGATAGACACATTCTTTCTCTCTTCTGTGGATGGTGTTGCTCACGAATCTGCTGGAAGAGGTATTTGGCTATGTATGAGGATATGCCAGCCAGGGTGATGGGTAGAGGCAGGTGCAAAGTAGTGAAGAAGCTCAGATCAATGCCGGGTTAAAGGATATTGATAGTTTTATCTGGTACTGGTAGTAGAACATCATTCTAGTTATGTCTCCATCTGCCGCACACATTGTTTCATAATCGGTGATATCATGGCAGTCTCTTTTCCAAATCTTGCCAAACGTACTGTATGCAGCTTTGCCACCAGGCTTTGTGAACGCCTGGTGAACAAGCTTCTTCGTAGTGATACTGGGCAAATACATGTAGGTTGGTACTGGCTTGTTGTGCCCATGTGGATCTGCAGGTTAAGGGAGGCCATGAGCTATAGCATAATGCTCTATAAAATGCTTCAGCTCCACAACATCTTCCACAGGCAGTGCATTCCAGAGTTCGTCCTGTGTTGGGCTGATTTCACTTGCACTGACAGCAGCCTGCACAGATTTCAGCACCCAGGGCTTGATCCTAGGCTGGAGGCATACACAAAGACTTCCTGACATGCATGTACATGACTTCCACACCAGCCACTGACTGTAGTCTTCAGTAGTTCAGAGTAGTATTGTTGAGCCCCATCTTATCACATCTCCCAGCATGCTGGACGCGCTGGGTAGCCTCACCACGTCTGATCCTGAGCACGTCTAGCTTTCCGCCTACACACAAGCAGCGCTCTGACTTGGTCAGGACGTGCGCTGTGTGCGCTGTAAACTTAAAGCAAGGTTTCAAGTGTCACGCTCTTGAAACACCACCAGTGCGGAACAACTACAGCCCTTGTCAAACTTGTCGCACGCCTCCTGGATTGTAGACAGTACTTGAACCGATTTTTCTTGGTCTGCACTCTGTATATTGCCGGCATTGAGGGGCTGGGCTGGTGGCAAAACTGACGCCTAATCGAAATTCTCCTTCGCATGCCCGTCCAGCTCGATCAGCGTTGCGTCCTGCGATTCCACATCCAACTCTCCTTGGCACTGCTGTCATCAGAACTGCGATTGGACCAGGCCAAAAAATGACTTTTCATCGTAAAGGAGTTCGAATGAAACCTCTGGGAGAAGCCCACAGCAATTATTTGAGCTAGCGACTGTCTTCTGCTTCGTTCCGCCATGACTCTCACCTTGTGATCTTCAAAAATCGACAGACCGTGACGTTTTGTTCTTTTTCTCGAAAAAATTACGAAGCACCTAAGGTCGGTTTTCGCAGAGCGCGGGTCATATAACGACAATTCGCGAATAACGATAGAATTTCCATGCCCAGAGCAAATTCCCATCCCACTCTGATACATATAATGAGACTTTGGGTATAAGGACACTTCGCGGAAAAGGACACTGTTCTGATGCCCCGCCGAGTGTCGTTATACACGAAGTTGACTGTATATGGCATAAAACAGAGAGGTTCCAGGTTTTCTAATCGAGTGCTCAATACCGAAAGGCAGAGCTGGTTTAAACAATAATAAGAGGATGAAAAAAAGTGTTTTCTGATGATCACTTTAATAGTGCATGAAACTCGCAGTAAAAACGCTTTTTCATCCTACTCTAATTTTTGTTTTTTTATAATTATGGCATAGCCAAAATTCTTAATTGGCTGTAATGTTTAGCTTGTTTCTGTCTTGATGACGCTCATCTTCCCCTCACTAACATTATTTCAAAACCTTGAAACCTTCGAAGTTGGAAGGCTGTTGGCTAGAACATTAACCTTTTGCGCCCTGGTGCTAAATCCCCTGATTCCTGCCACCGGCCGCCCTGCCGTACGCAGTAGTCCCAGTATGCATTTGAAAATTATCTAATTTCACTCACCAGTTTCGTAATTATTTCTTTTTGGTCGCATTGGAAAGCTACAGATGTCCTCTCTCTGAATATCGCCACTAGACACCCGGCAGGAGCAACAGAATCGCCTTCAAGCCTGTTGAGAGCTGCCCTATTGCGCCTGAGCGAGATTCTGTACCCACCTCCACAAATTTTATCGTTTCTCAATTTTTACTCAACGTAGAACGATGATTCAAAGTCCTGCAGATTCATGAAGCTCAAGCGATTCATTTGATCTCTACTTCGCATGCGCTGTGCAGCGATGAGTCACTGGGAAAGTCCCCCGTTTGAGGCACGCCGACGCACTTGAAGCGCTCTGCGTACAAATTTTCGAAACAATTTCAAGCGTATCCGTGTTTCGTTCTTCGATACTCAGTGATTCCGCACCGCGCTATATCAAACGACATACCACTGGAAAGCTTATTCTCTCACCTTTCCAATGAGCCATCATTCGCGACAATTGGAGAAAGGACAATGGAGTTACGACAATTTGAACAGTGATGTATATGCACTGTACAAGTATGCGCTTTTACTTGACGCACATATGCGGCATCAGGAAATCAGGGTATGACTTTTTGACGCACATGTGCGGCATCAGTCCGGAAAGGGTTAAAGATGTGATCGATCTTCATCAGGTCCTTGAATATCAGTATCACTTGTGTGCTGATTTCTTACTTGAAATTCGTTTTGAAATGAATAATATCCCAAACTCTCGAGAAATGTTCGCCATTGTTTGACAGTACAGTAAAACCTGGTGTAAGCAATCTCTGGTTTAGCCACCGTTTTTCCATGCACGGACAATTCTACACTGCAACTGCACCGGACATAGCGACCACCTGCCTTGCGCGACCAGTGACCGACTTTTAGTGTACCAAGTGCCATATGGACCTGCACACAGCAAGCAAAACTAGCCAAAAGTGCCATCTTGACTGGCAGAGAAACAGGCTTGAAATGCGCTCTGAAGCAAGTGCATGCAGTCAACAGAAGTGACAAGTGACAGTGCAGGATGCGCTAGCGTTGCATGCACTTGAGAAGTTGAGTGAGGCTTGCTTCGCTTGCACGAAAGTATTCTATGCTCCAGACCTGTCAATATGAGTACATGGAAGGACAATCATGCACTTGTATGTACACGATCCGATATGCCACGAATGTATGAGACCTGGCTCTAAAGACCACCTGGCTTTAACGACTGCTTTTGCTTGCACAGTGGGGTGGTCGCTTAAACCAGGTTTTACTGTAGTTCAAGATGGCTGCCAAGTAGACAACTGCCACTCGCTTGTTGCAGTCCTACGGGCGCTTTTCATCCTCTGAAAGCTTCACTCCAGGAAATCATCAAGAAGCAATCCTTAGGCGATTCAGTGGTTATTCCATACCACAATCATGCATAAGGTACGAAGCAGCGTTGGCGATCTGGGGGTCAATCGCTCACGACTGTAAACTGCATGAACGAAACTTGAACAGTTAATTCAGCGGTAGGTGACTACCAAAAACAACCGTAAATCTACTACGCAGCATTTGCACTATGTGCGCTAAGAAACCAATAACCGATCTGCTTACCTGTCTTCTATTCGAGCTAGCTTTTGTTGGTAGAACCGAGGGCTCTGAACATGCCATGCATGTAGAAGATATTCCACGTCTACTGGTTCCCTGCCAAATCGACCAACACGTTGCTGCTCTTCTTGAACGTTCTACGATAAAATGAAAAAAGAAGTCGATGAGGATTGAGGTCAACGAGGTCGGAGCCGACGAATTCTGTCGAATTCACAGTAGAGCGCGGCTCTCTGAGTAAACTATTTAGCTACCTACCAGAAGAAAAGGATCTAGAAATTCTCAGAACGTTGCAGATAATCGTCCAGCAGATGTTCCTTCGCGCAAGCCTATGAAAAAAGGAGCAGGAAATAGGGCAGGAAACAAAATAAAGAGTTGGATTCCGTGGCCTTCGAACACACCATGAGCTGTGAATCCGCCGTACTCACAGCCTAGTAGGCTCCAGAATAGGTAGCGATTGAAAGACAGTCAACTCGGACCAAAGACAGATATTCATTCGGTTCACTGCAACCCCGTCTTTCTCAACAAGACTGGAAAGGAGGTTTCTCTTGCTCTTTCTCCAAAGCGAACAAAGCTTTATGCCGATCATACGAAATTTGCGGCTACTATTCATATCAGAAAGGCTACGTTTCATCGAAACTAACTTGGTACCGTGCTAGATGTACATAACGATGGGGATATCAAGCGCCACCTGCAAGTACGGATCTCTCCACAGCTTGTCTACCTAGTACCTGTAGCTGTAGCTGTAGTCTAGGATCGTTGTTCGAACGTCTGACAACCAGGAACCAGTACCAGGAAAAGAGTTGACAGGCCATTTTGCCTAGCTAATAGTTTTCCTGCTTGCGGTCGAGGCCATGTCATAATGCAAGGACCGTAGCGGCGTAGGTAGATCTACATGTACATGATTGTACACGGGTCTACAATCATAAACATTGTATTTGTGATTACAGGCAATACAAGGATTACGTGCTAGGCGCGAGGAATAGGCATGGATACTGATAGGGTGTTCCTGTTCGCCGCGTCTCCTTGTATTACTTTGAGGCCGAATATTCACGGACGAGTTTTATGTATCATCATAACATTCTTTGCTCGTCGACATTCCTCCTTTTCATTGTACTTTTACTCGACTTTTAATCTTTTAGATTCGGGCGGAGACTCAAGAATAGTGTTGTCCAAAACCAAGAGTACATTATTATAACCTAGATATCGGTGATTCAGATCGTGCAACAACTCAAAAGCTGCTACGAACGTGTAACAGTTACAGTTTAGTACTTCAAGTAAACAGTTCTGTCCGCAGATTGAGTAGTACTTCAAGTACCATGAGTACAGTACTGACAAGTGGAAATGACAGTGATACAGTACATAAAGCCGGGTCCACGTGAACCACTGAAAGGTCTGAGAAAAGCACGGTCTGGTATGATGGCTGCAAGAAGCAGCGCAAAAGACAGGTGAACATCAGAACAAACACTGTACTAGTCTTTTCCATGAGGGGGGGGGGGGGGGGGAGAGAGAGATCCCGGAGAGTCGAACGATGTGACAGGGGCGATTGTAAGCAGCAAATTTAGGCCATTTCTCATCTTTGCATGCTGTCATTCCAGTGATCACTCACTGATCACGGTGTTTACACGATGCTGCGACACGTATGCTGGGCCACAACCTGACCTTCGCCACAACTTGACGGAGCTAAGTAATAGTTAAACCCAATTGAGCGCCTACAAGAGGAAGGGAGGGAGGGAGGGAGGGAGGGAGGGAGAGAGAGAGAGAGAGAGAGAGAGAGAGAGAGAGAGAGAGAGAGAGAGAGAGAGAGAGAGAGAGAGAGAGAGAGAGAGAGAGAGAGAGAGAGAGAGAGAGAGAGAGAGAGAGAGCGAGAGAGAGCGAGTGTGTGTGTGTATGAGACTTTTGAGTGCTGTCCATCAGATCCTGCACCTTCCACAGTGCTACACGTGTATTAATGGTAAAATGGTTACTTTTTTCTCTCCATGCACGGAAATTTGCCTGTACTTCGGACCTATCCTCCATTCGGTTGCGTCGCATTGATGAAACATGGATCCCTAATTCTTCTCTTCTGTGGAGGCTCGTACGTACACACTGTAATGGCCATCTTCAGTCCTCTGCTTCAAAACGTGTGCACTACTCCAGATATTAGTCTGACACGTGATCATGGTGATATTGTCCTCTTGCATGATCTCCCTTGTAACATTCACTCGCCCAGACACTTGAGGCGTTGTGTATTTCATTGTATCCAGCTGTATGGTCGCACCCCATTCAAACAAAACAAAATCGTAAATCACACCTGGTTGCTTTCGCTGAGTCGGCATGGTGAGCGCAGAATGCAGCTAGCATAATATTTATTTTCCTGTCACTATTACTGTCTACATCACGTGGCAAGCAAACAGGCCAGAACTGCGCAATGGATAGGAAAGCATTATCGTTGTTTTCAGCTGAAACGCTACTTCGCCTCGGAATCTCGTATTCCAAGCGTGTAGTGAGTCTCCCGTCTCGCTGCGGGATTTCTCTGTTCTCAGTCACTTGTGGAATCGTTTCACAGTAGGTAAACAGTAGCAGTTGATCGGGTAGGATTCAGCACAATGAATTGTGTAGCGAACATTCTACTGATGCTAGCCTTGTGGCAAGGAAGCATTGCCAGTTTGATGAGGCAAGGCAATGAAATGGGGTCAGTTGGCTACATTGAACATCTACTCTCTCTGATCGAGGAAGGTGAAGGTCGTAGACTGGAGAATGCTCTAGTTGCTCACCCACGGTTGAGAGTACTGGACAAGGACTTAGATAGGATAAGAGAGTATATCAAGACGGATTTTGTTGCTCAGATGTTCCACGAGAAGATCGTGGAACACGGTGAGGAGATCTTGAAGGCGCCACCGGTAGTTCGACCGCCCCCTGGTCCTTCAGGAATTTTGACCACCGTTCGCGTGGCCTTGGACCGGGTGTACACGATGGGTCTGCTCTATCGCCTCTCTCAGCCCGCCAATCAGACGTGGCTGCAGCGCGGCTGGAAAGAGCTGCATGCTGCCGTGAACTTCAGTGACTGGAATCCATCACATTTTCTGGACGTGGCTGAAATGACGCATACGGTGGCTATCGGCTATGACTGGTTTTACAATGACCTGACCGAGGAGCAGGGAAGTCTCCTGGAACAGGCCCTGGAGGTGAAAGGATTTCAGCCGGCTCTGAAAGGCTACAAAGACAAGGCATTCTGGAGCGTGTATCCTGATAACTGGAACAATGTCTGCAATGGTGGCATGATAGTCGGCATGCTAGCTGTTGCGGATAGCAAGAACTGCCCAAGCGCACAGTCTGTAGGTCAACATGCATTGAAGGCCCTGCCCACAGCCATGGAGTCTTACGGTCCCCTGGGCGCATGGCCAGAGGTAAGGGTTTGCTCTTTTGTTTCTCTTCTGGACTGAGTCGTGTTCTGTATCCAAAGGAAATGTGTTTCACTCACAAAGCAACTGTTCAGTACATGGGGTAATGGTCTACCAGAGCAATCACACTCACCACCGTAGTGGTTTTCCAGAAATGAGAAGAAGCAAAAAACCACACTCGCAGCCACATAATAGATGAATAGCCGAAAACATCTAAATCCATCAAAGAACTGCCAGCAAGCAGGAGAAAAGGCCGTAAAATCAAATGAAACGGCATGGTCAGTGGTGAGCATGGGTGACTGGGCAGCAGGGGAGCGCCTGAAAATAATGACTCCCTACATTCCTAGCCGTGACCGCTCAACCGGGCTAGAGGAAAAACACGCCTTTCGGCCAAAAAACCTTTCTATTTCATTAATTCCTGCCCCGCTGCCAGTCGGACCCAAGAATAGAGACAGCAAGAAATGGTATGTAATAACCGATGTATGTCATTATCATAAGCCACACACATTGGCATAGAATATCAATAAGAACAGCGGAAGACCCCCATGAAACCAGGGTGGGTGGGTGGGCAACTTCAACTACCACGAAGAAAAACAAAGACCACGATGGCAGGTTCAATGGAGTTGCGCAGAACAAGAGCAAACGCACGAAAATATAAGTTGATTCTCAGGTCATGAGCCTGTGAAAATCGATGCGAGCGAGCGATTTTTTTATTTTATTTTCCACAATTTTTTATTTCCAAAGATAGGGTCACACATGTGTACATGGTCAGGGAGTAGAAAAATACCGGTATTTTACTACTCCCTGATTCATGCACACGTCGAGTCTCACTACAGTCCATTTCAAAACTATAGACGCGTAGGGTTTTTGAAATATTTCAAATTTGGCTGGACCTTTTTGAGAATAGTTTTCGGAATATTGCTCAGGACCGCTCCACAATTACTCTCATAATTATAGTTTCTAAACGATTGGATAACAGACGCCCAATTTGGAAAAAATTATGCACAAAGTGATAACAGATTTTATGTGGTATAGATGCTGGCATAACGGTTTTTGCCTAGGTACGCGTCTATAGTTTTGAAATGGACTGTAGCACTGCCATGTACATGTATCTGTATACAAACAGTGCAGTGTGTATTAGTACACAGCATGCCAGGACTGTACAGTGCAGCCGTATTTGTACAATCATGTACACCATGCATGGCTGGCGGCCGGCCAATGCGCGCATATGCATGCATAGAATTTAAGAAAATCGTCGGTGCGCCGCCAGAAATCGGTGCGCGCGTACTTGAGAATCAAAGATAATTTTTACTAGGGGTCAAACGGGTGTACCTTTAACTAACGAACGGGTAATTTTCTTAACGGGCGGGTTAACGGGTACCCTTTAGCAGCCATATTATTTTTTTGCGCATTTCTCACATAAATCATGATTTTAATTTGTATATTCTCAGGTTGTATTTTGATACTACATTATGATTCGCAATTGATTCGTGTATCATAATATTATTATGGCAATGAAGGTTCCAAATGAATGTCATCCGTGCATTTGCCCATGTACATAACTTCATAGGCAGTAACTTACAATCGTACATGTAGATGGTCCTACAAGCTACATGTATTTTGATACATGTACGCAAATCAACTGCAGATCGATGTGATTCAAGCCACGTGATCTCGCGCAATCCTATTTGCTATGTTCGCAGAGAACTGGTACTCGTTGCATTCAGAAGATGTTCGCGCCCATAGCTAGCTGGGGTGCCTGACACAGCTGATGTGCTGCTGGCCAGCTATAGCTGCTAGTGCTAGCTTGTTGAACTCGTGAAATGAATCTTCACAAATCCGTAATCTTGTATGCAATATTTCGAACTACTTTTCAGCTCGTCGATTGAAGGAACAAACTACAACCATGAGTATCATACATGTAGCTACCACTGTGACCTACGGACATCACCGTTTGTGACACTCCGACTGGTCACTCAGCCTGGTGACACTAGTTCATCAAGTACTGTGGCAGGTTCGATGTCGGAGAACCATCGTAACTTTTTAGTTACTCAGCTGCCACCTCGAACGAGTTTCAAGTCTTGCATTTTCTCACATCACAATCAAAAACCTCCAGTACGAGGATTTTTACTTGCACTAGAGTGGAGAGAACAACTGTCAAGTCTGTCTTTCAGCC